TTTTGATTGTGTAAGAAGATCGATGCCTTCCTAAGCCCTGTGTTGTTCAAGGGTCAACTATAATTAGGTCCCAACAACTTAACAGTAGTAGATAAGTGGTGTCTGGCAGATTGAGCTGGGTTTTTTCAAAATGTTATATCCCATGGCACCCCTGTGACTTTCTGTGGCACCCCGGGGCACCTCAACACACAGTTTGGAATCCACAGAACAACACTTCCCTGTCTTCCTGCTTTTGCTGAAGAAAAGGCATCTGGGTGCAGTAATCACACTGTCTGTTCCTTCCAGTGCTTGAGTCCCTGGGCTGGAAAGGACAAAAATCTGCTCACAACTGCCTTTGGCCATTAATGAAGTCTTAGCCCCGGAGCCCGCACTGCAGGCTTTTCCGCCCAGTCACCTGCCATCCCACCCCACATTAACCAAGCATTGCAGAGCAAATCCCTGGTCCTTTGGCTCCTCACACTTCACCTTCTGTACACACTTCTCTCCCTGTTCTTCATCCATTTCCTGCTCCAGATCCTGGGTGACTTAGTTCTGCCTTCAGTTCCGATCCAACCCACAGACTTGGTTCACTCCTTCCTCTGGGTTCACAGCCCACTCTGCACACACACTTCTCTGGCCTTACTCCAGTTCTCTCGTTCTTGGCCACCTTTGTGTCCATCTCCCCACCGCTGGGGTTATGAACTTAGGCAAGGCAAGTCTTATCTTGGTGGCTTCCTCAGACTACGCATGGTAAACAGTATCGTCTTTCCTAAGTTCTAATTAATAAAGAATGGAACAAGAGGATAAATGACGGCTTAAGGGGTCACAAGGAAGATTATCAGTTGAGCAAAATAATGGATGTGGTACACTGACTACATTAATGGCCCCAATTAATGGTCTCCCTGTGTCCACAGCCCTTGCAATGAGACTGTAGCAACTCCCATCAAGAACCACTCTTTTTACCCTTGAATCCAGCTTGGTCGCACACCTTGCTTTGTCTGATAAAATGCAGCAGAAGTCACAGTATGTCAGTTCTGAACCTAGGCCTCAAAAGGCATTCACTGCATGCTTCTGCTTACCCTCTGAGAGCCACATAAATAACCTGGAATAGCCTGCTGGGTGAGGGCAGACCCTGTAGAAGGAAGCCCAGCTATCACCATCTAAGACCAAGCTCAGCCAGCCAACATACCACACACGTGAGAAGGCTCACTAAGACCAGCAGACTAACCCCAGGTCACACAAGTGAACCCATTTGAGATCCAAAGAACCACCCAACTGACCTGCAGAGCCATGAACACCAATAAAAACTTGCTGTGTCATGCCACTAAGTACTGAGGTAGCTTGTCATGTGGCATTAGCTGATGGTGAATGAATTTATGGAGGTGAAGTCCCTGGAAGTCAGGGGCTGTGGGATTTGTCCTGCACCATATTGAGAACCGCAGATCTTCAGCACACTGTGCCCACCTGCTAGGAGGTATACGGTGATCTGTGAAAAGGGATTTGAACAGAGTATTTTTGAATTTTACAAGGGACTTACTTGCAGTTAGTGTGGATTTACCCTCATCTCTAACACCACTGCTGTGCTTTTTCATTAACTTCTGGAGGAGGAAAGAAAGTGTAAGAGTAGGACCAGGAACCTACTTCCTACTATACTCCCAAGGTAGCCAATAGTAATAGTAACGAAGGTATTTATTGATGCCTATCTTCTCCACCTTCTTTGCCCATCACCTGCTTGTGAACTAGCTCTCAATGAATCTAAAGGGCAATTTCTGGTGATGACGTCAAATCCTTCTGGAAAAGGGCAAGGCACTTTACAAAGTTTTAATTCGTATTTTTCCCCTTTGACTCTTCATGTTTTTCTGCTTCAGTCAACAAAAACCTAGTTTTGTGTTCAGCACTGAAGATACAAAGACATGGCTGGTGCCTTAGGGAACTCAGCCTGGTGGAGCTAAAGGGCCCTCTTCTCAGCAAGAAGCTAGATAAGAGCCAGCCTTATCTATCTTATTCTTTTACTGTAACAGTCAGAAGCCCAGAGCAGGTGGTGAGCCCCAGGCTTGCTTCTAAAAGGAGAAAGTCCTAGTAACCAAACCTGCTTTGCTTGTCTGTGGCAGTGGTATTGTGGGAAGGCCCTAATCGCAACACTATTTCTTCAAAAGAGAACTTTCAGGAATGTCCTTGCTGAGGATAACTGCTGCCCTGGTGGCCAATGCAGTGTGTTCCTTGATGTCTTCAGCTGCCCACCTACTTTCCCCTACAATCTCCCAGGCAACTAGTCCAGCAAATTATCAATCCCTGTAAGCCTTGGCCTCACATATTCAAAATGCAGAATCCAATGAGACTGAATGAGACAATACGACATGGAAGTCTGAAGGCTAAGCACAGACCCAGGCACGTGTCCGTGCTCAAAAAGACTTATTTCCTTCCTTTCAGTGACAAAAAATATACTTACTTCACCACACACACACACACACACACACACACACAACACACACATACACACACACATACACACACACACACACTCCTTCAGGCCACCCTCATCCCCTCCTGCCCAATATAATGTCATATTTGTAATAACACTAAGAGCATCAAGTCCTGATAGTCCTTTCCCAAAACACATGTATGTTTAACTTCCACCCACCATGCTGTGTACAACCAACCAGAGATACGGCCAACCTGGGGGGACTTTTCTCCTCCAAACTCTTTACACAATCCACAGGGTAACTAATAAGAAAACAAGTCATCTGAGTCCTGGAAAACAGCATCCCAACATCCTATTGAAGTCAGTCCTTTGCCAAGCCCTTAGAGACTTCTTTTTCCAGCAAAAGCATCCCTATGCCAAGCAAGGCTCCTGCCATGCACAGACGAGGGCTCCAATCTATTCTGGGGCCTCACCTGGAACACAGGGATCTGATCACAGGACTCCAGCTCCAGCTCCAGGGCCCTCACACCCCCTCATTCACCTGAGATGGTTCCCAGATGAAGCACAGTAATGTGCTGGGGGGTGGGAGCGGCCAGGGAGAGGTCAATGGGGAAAAAAGAAAACATATGAAATTTTTAAATAAAAATGAGTAATAATAAATTAAAAACCTTTTTAAAAAAGACTTCAACTCTTTTCTTAATTACAATTTCACATTACTACATAGTTGGCATTTAGTAAATATTTAAGTTGATTTGTCTGTTTGGCAAAAGATATTTACCCAGCACCGCTAGCCAGGCACTATACTTCATGTTGGGCAAAGGGTAGCAAAAAAAGTGTAGAGACTTTGGGTGGTGGGCACACAGTGCTACATATAGATGTATCATAGACGTGTACTTGAAACCTATATAATTTTATTAACCAATATCACCCCAATACATTTAATTTTTTAAAAATTGCATATATTTAATGTGTACAGCTCAATGTTTTGACATGTTTAATGTGAAAAGAATGCAATTAAACTATATACATAAGGTGTAGAGAAAAATAAAAGACAAGAAATGGCAAAAGTAACCGCATAAATAACATCAAATCTGTCTTCATTAATTACCTTCCTATGCTGGGTGTGAACGCTCAGGAAAATAGCTGAGGAATGGATCATGCCCGCTTACATAAGAACTGGGTCTCTCCGGCACACTTCACCCACTAGCCCCATTTCCTAGTCAAGCTTTAATTTTCCTTCCACATCTTCAGGGTAAATTCTTTAGGTCATAAAATTGCCTCAAATGAGAGAAAAACCTGAATGGACTCCATGCTAAAAAGTAACACTACAGTTTCAACTTTGGCTTGAAAGTGGTTCTGAGCTACTTCTTCCTTTTTCTTTGCAATCCCTCTATCCTGATGACATAATGGACTGCCACAGGGAGACATCCCACTCAAACTTAAACATCGAGTTTGGCTCACAGAACCTCGATGTGAACAAGCTTCTGACTTACCCATCTCTCACCTGTCAACTCCCCCACACAGAACTATAAATGTCCAGGTTTGCTGCTAATAAACTCAGCCAGACCAAATTAAGCGGGCTTTATTGGACCTTGTTCCTTTTTTTCTGCTGATCTCCCTGCAACAAACCAAACATATGGTGAGAGCAGAATGCTATTTAGTGTAAGACACCAACTCCACACGCTTCTCTCTTGGAGAACAGCTCAACTATGAGGGCGTCTGTTCAAACGCATCAGCCTCTTTGAAAACTTGAATAATGCCTTTCCAAGGTCACCGTCTAAAAGCAGTGACTATTGCAAAGTCCATGATAAGCACAGCAAAAACACACAACCCAGGCCTTCAGAATCACACACACAGGGTGAGATTAAAACTACAACATAATAGCATTACACACCCACCCAAAGCACCACAGTGAAAAAGACAGGAAAACTAGGTGTACTGAGGATGGAGGGTGGGAGGCCTCATACACTGCTGGTGAAAGTACGACCACCCAGAAAAATGGGCAGTTATCTCATAAAGCTGAACACACCCAGGCCCTACTGAGACAACCTAGTAAGCAAGGACAAGCTAAAGAGGGAATCTGAGACAGACAGTTAAAGGCCAAGCAGTTTACAGCCATTTAGTAAATAGTAAAATCCTATCTTCCCTAAACCAAGAACACTTGAAAGTAAATGGTTTGCACTTCTCCCCAGAGGGTAAATAGCTTAAATCATCCTCCTCAGGGAGACAGATAGCAAAAATCCAATTAGTGCCATTTGCCAACCACACCCAAGAACCTATGAAGTTAAGGAAATAAATCTCATTTTGGCTCATCACCATAAAACTGATGAATATTCTATTGAGATCCTCCCCAAGACCTCCCTAAACTCCCAGCCTTTAAAATCCTCAAAACGAAGGTCCCAGCTTGCAGATCCCAGGGTACGTGCTCTCCCTGCTAGGAGCATGCCCATGTCTTTCCCTTCTCCATGACCCTTTTCTCTGACTTTCCAGTGAGCTAACAGCAGCCCTGCTTTACGTCATTGCTTTCCTGTAACATTTCTAAAGAGCCAAAGCAGCCCTGCCTAAGCTCTCCTTGTTGCTTCTTCTATCCTAAGCCCTTCCTTGTGTCACTGTTCCCAGCTTTAATAAACATAACCTCAAAATCATGTGGACTTGTGTTGTGAATTCTTTCCCGCATGAAGTCAAGAACCCATACACTACAGGCCGGCCCAAGGCAGACCCACACGCAGGGCCAGGTCCCCTTTCTGGTAACAGTTGAAAACACAGTGATTTTCAACTGGTGTGCCGAAGAATTCTTAAAACATGCAATACTTACCTGATTATTCAGTCAGGGGCACTGACCTCTTTTCCCTTAGATGTTTAAATTTAAAAAATTACAGCAGCCAACGCAACCACAGCTATCTGGTATGAATGAATCAAAATTATACCTATTTTTTGGTCAGATCCACAGAAAAAATATATATATATATGTATTTATAAACATATTTATTGATTTTTTTTACAGAGAGGAAGGGAGAGGGATAGAAAGTTAGAAACATTGATGAGAGAGAAACATCGATCAGCTGCCTCCTGCACACCCCCTATTGGGGATGTGCCCGCAACCAAGGTACATGCCCTTGACCGGAATCGAACCTGGGACCCTTGAGTCCGCAGGCCAACACTCTATCCACTGAGCCAAACAGGTTAGGGCAGAAAATATATTTCTGATGTGCCACAGAATTTTAGTAGTTTATGAGACGAAAAAGGTTGAAAATCGCTGGTCTACAACTATACACACAACATGGATGAATTTCACAAGCATAATACTGGTCCAAAGAAGCAAAACACAAAATAGTACACACTGCGTGAATTCATGTGCATGGAATACACAGAAGCAGGCCAAGTGCTCTGTGCTGTTGCAGGTTAGGACCAGTGATGGGTGGGATGGGCAGCGAGCAGAAGGGAGCACGAGGGGCTCCTGAGGGCTGGTAGCATTCTGCCTGCTCTCGGTGGGGGAGCGGGGGGGAGGAGCGGGGAGGAGAAGGGGGGAGCAGATGAGTGTGTGCACTTTGATAAGTACATTATAGATAAGTAAAAAGTTAAAATCAAGGGTACAGATTTCCTTGTTAAGTCACTACTTGCCTCAGTAACTCTCTTATAAAAATGCTGGTTGGCTGGAAGACGGATAGAAGGTTCTTGAGGATGCCTACTCTTAGGCACTAGCTTGTTGGATGCCTGGGGCACATTCTTTCACCCGTGTGCCTAACTTACCTCACTAAGAAGACTGGATGTAATGTTGCCTCAGGCTTCCTCAACTCTAATCTTGAAGATACTAAGATCCTCCTTCTCATTCCTTCCCCCATTCTTGGCCTCCATACATGGGTCAGAATCACAGGAGGAAGTTGTCCAGGATCGGGTATAAGGCCCAGCTGGGCCCTGAGAGGGCACCTGACCGTGACCTCTTCATCTTTCATTGCAGGATGTAAAAGGAGATACACCCAGTATCACTAACTGGATGTGTGTAACATTTCCAAAGCCAGCCCACTGGCTGATGAGACAAAACAGCACCTACAACCTGGGCCACCTATTGACTCACATGTAATGTCAGCCCAACAGTCCCATTTGCTGTCAGCCCGTCACTTGGCTGCCTTT